TCCTTGGTAAAAGCAAGGGTGTGACACTGAATGGTCACTGATGGAGCCAGTTTTGCAGGCTGTTTCTTACTATGATTCCAGTAAGTCGCTTACTGGAGATCAAATTTGAAATGGTAATAAAGCATAGAGAACCGAAATGAATGTAAGGCTGTTTGTCCCTCAGCTGAAACCTGTTGTTTCTGCTTTACTTTTGTCAGGGTCAGTGTGACAAGTGTTTAAAGGCCTCGTAGTCTGGCGTCATTGATCCAGGACAGCGCCATTGTTTTTATACTGGAGATTCCCAACATTTAGTGTGCATGCTCATAAAAAATACATATTCCAGGGCCCTACCCCTGAGACATCCTGATTCAACTCATCTAGATTGGGGCCCATGAATCTGCATTTTAACAGGCACGCCAAGTGATCTTGAGGCAGGTGGACCTCAAGTCACACAGGAACACTGATAGGGGTCAGAAGAGTTGATGGCAAAGTTATAAAAACTGAGGAGTGTTGCTTGTACTTTTGCTTCTGACTAGAGTGGAGGAAAGGGTTGCCTTTGGGTTCACCAAAATATTTCTCAGGGAGAACTTCTTATCTGCTTCAGTGTTTGAACAAGTACTGAGAACCCAAAGTTCATTTCATAAAGCATGAAAAAGTTGTTGTTTTTGCCTTAAGATGTATGGTCAATGTCTTCCTCAGCTTGGGCTGTCATATAAAAGTACCATAGACCGCACGACTTAAACAACAGAAGTGCATTTTCTCGGTTTTGGAGCCTGGAGTCTGAAACCAGGCTGCCAGCAGGGTCAGGTTGTGGCGAGCTCTCGTCCTGGCCTGCAGAGGGCTGACTTCCCTCCAGGCCTCACATGGTGGAAAGGAGCAGCCAGGAGAATGAGTGTATTTTCTTACAAGGGCACAGATCCCATCGTGAGGTCTCTACCCTCATGACCTCATCTAGTTCCCTCCCAAAGGCTTCATCTCCAGATACCACCACATTGGGGGTAGGGCTTCGACATATGTGGAGGGACACAATTCAGTCCGTAGCAGTGAGATACTAGCAACCATCCGTGTGAGCCACGAAGGAGCTTGCACGTGGCTCTTGCTGCGTGTCTGATTTAGGGCCGTGGTCCTGCAGTGGTGAAGGAGTGCACCCACTGGATGGAGATCTGAAGATAAACTGTCTGGAAAATGGTTTTAGTGTTAGCATTGCTCAAGTTAAGCATCCTCCCCCGTTCACCCGCATTCGTTATTTCTCATGCTGGAGGAGATGCCTTGCCAGACCAGCGGAGGGTGGGACCAGGCTTATGCACTGGGGATAACTGAAATGTGGCTCACGCCATTCTGTCAGTCCAGATTAGTGAAGCTTACCTTAATACCGTACGGAAAGGTTTTTTTAAAAGGCACTTTCTATGTGGATTCACTATGAAGATAAGTAGCATTAAGTCAGTCTTTTATTTTGAAACTACAGTATAATTTGCTCTAATTGAGAAATCTGACTTCACACTTAACTCAGTGTTAGAATCACTTAAAGACATAATCAAAATGACTCATTCGACTTGTGTTGTATAGTACTAAAATCCCACATTTCAACTTAAATACACAATATGGAGGCCTAAGTTCCCAAAGAAGAAGAAATACTAAGAAAAAAATTAAAAATACTGAGAAATTTTTAAAAAACATTCATGTAAATCATCTTGTAGAATTTTCTCTTTTGGAAGAAAAGGTGTGAGGGGGGTTAAAGTGATTTTCTTTGTAGGTAACAATCACTAGATAAAAGGCCCTTTCCATTAAGATGTAACACTAATTAATAATGGGTTTATTTCCCCAAAGATAGCCCATCTGAGTTTAGATTGGAATTGCAGATATATACTCTGTATATATATTCTGTAGTCATAGATAATGTCAACATATCAATGGTAAGTACAAAATTCATATTTTATACAATATGGAAATCCTAGCCATTTGAAGAGTACCAGTTTTTCGCTTAATGCTAAAAATATTAACCAATGAAGTCCATACTATTAATAGTAATAAAACGTACTCACTTTTACACTGACAAAATTTATAGGGTTTAAAACCTTTGTCATAGAGTTTGGTCTCAAAACAAAGTTCTCTTCTATGCAGTTCAGTGAATGCTATTTCCCAGCTAAAATTCATCATCACACCGACACACATGGACACACACAGACCTACATGACACCCCGCCCAGTTAACCTGCCACCTCCCTGTCTCCCACACACTACCCTACCCTACAAACAGTAGTCAAACATAGGGCATTTGTTTAGCTTCAGAAAGATTATACTGCAGTGGCTGCCAGTAAGTACATAAATTTTAAAAATTGTCAACTAAGGGATTAAAACAAATAAAAAATGAAAACATGAATATTATTTTTTAATAAAAATATTCAAGCTCTGATTAAAACTATTCAAAATGTGCACAAGGGTGTAAGTGAGAAGTAAAAATCTCCCTTCCCCTGTGGATACTCACTTCCACCCCCAGAGCGCAGGTATTACAAGATTCTTCTGTTGCTTTCCAGAAATTGCAACAAATACATTTGTGTGTGTGTATACATATGTGTATATATACAGTATACATACATAAACGTGTATATACAGAGAGAGGCAAAAGTAGGTTTACCGTTGTGAGTACATGAAAGTTTATTTTGGTATTGTTATTTATTAATGTATTCTTTTTCATATGAACAACTGTAGACCTACTGTTGCCTCACGTATATAAATACTATATTTAATTTTAAAAACTGATCCCCCAACAACTAGTCGAGCTGTTAGAATGGGGTGCCAGTCACAGCCCTCTCTGCTCTGGACAAGCTAACAAGCCTCTCTGGGGATCTCTTTCTTTCCTCACCTCTGTAGCCTGGGTTCGCCTGGCCACGTGTCCTTGGTCTCTGTCTGGAAAGCTCTGCAGTGGTCTCTGTGCTCCTCTCCTGGTCTGAGGCCCATAGACTGAGAACTGAGTGGAGGATGGTCACCACCCCTGTTCTGCTGCAGATGCTCCTAATGTCCCCCTCTAGACCCCCAGGGAGGCCACTGTCCTCTCCAGTTAGTTTTCAACTCCTAACTCTATGAATACTATTTTGTGAATAGTAGAAGGTATTTCTGGAATACATATTGTGGACAGAAAGCATTTCCCCCCAGCCGTTCACTTTTAACTTGTCACTCTTACTTGCTCCAAAAGTCAGTAATGTGAAAAGAGCTTCATATGGTACCTTTGGTGGTGCAGCTCATACAAAAAACAAAAATCACAGACCTTTTTTTAAAGGAAGTTATAGTAAGCATTTCAATCAGTGAGAATATTAGAACTGGGCAGAGGTAAAGATGCAGATTTGTGCTTATAATAATAGCCACTGAAATATTAAAAATAATCGTAACGTTAAAAATTATATTGCTTAACACTTTTTCAGAGACTCAGAACCTCTAACAGAGCTCTTTATTCATGAGCTCATGAGGAAAATCTGGAGAGCTTTGTAAATTTTCCTTTGACCCCTGGGGTAAGTAAACCCAGGGAGATGAAATTACTTGCTCAGCATCACAAAATCTGAAATGTGAACTCTGTTCGCTGCGCACATCAGTTACTGACGTGATTATAGGGCAGCCGAATCTCAGCTGCGAGGCTGGCGTTAGGCCTCTGGTGCACCCAGTTCTGGGTATGCATTTTGTGTCGGTTGCTTTATTGACAAGTAACACTAGTGATTTTTAAACTATAAACCGTACCGTAGCCTTTTAGTTCCGAGAGGCAACTATATAATATTGGTAACTAAGCAACTCCTTATAAAGGCACAGTCATTTTCAATAAACGATATCTAGATTGATGCTCTAATATTATAATTGCTAGATCTTGTATCATTGAAAAAATGAATCTCATGAAGTTTGGGGGGCAGGTAACCCTAAGATCCTGAAAGATGATACTTGGCCTAAATACTGGGTTTTTTCTTGCCTTTTCTCTCTCTTTTTTTTTTTTTTTTTTTTTTTTATTTTTTTTTTTTTTTTAAAA